TGCAGTAATTTAAGACCTCGCTTCAGTGACTACTGGGGACACAGAGGCTACCACCTCCCTTTTGCCATCCCAAACAATATGCATGCTGATGCAGCTCATATAACTAACAGATCTGAACTTGAGTTTGTGATGGAAAAACAATAGTACAGTCTTGTGCTTTAGTTGGATGAGTGATCTGTCCCCAAGTATGCACCCAGCTCTCAAAAAGTTGTACTTCTGGGCAAAGGGCACAATAACCCTGCTGTGTGTGTTGCTGTACGCTTGTATGCATTTTGATTGGGGTAACATTGGTTAAAACACTGAAGGTGACTCAGAGGTACTAGTTCACCTGTTTTCAGATGTACCTGACCACACCACCTGCACTGTGGGACAGAGCACACACAGTCTTCTACCACAGGATCCACCCCGTTTTCTCTCCACGTGTTTTTATTCTCAGCAAGCATATGATTTTAGAGAACAAGCATCACAGTAGTATTGGGGCTTATCTCTGTACATGTGTGATGCTCTGTTGTTAAATATTGAATTTCCATTTTCTTTTCCACTCTCTCTCCCCTTGCTAATCATATTTGTGATAACGTTATTAAAGAAAACCCAAACCAAATTGTAGCTTTGTCCTAAAGTCTCTGAGAATTCAGAGCTACTCAAACGCAGGCCCTTGCCAGGCTGGAGTGAAACCTCTGTGGGGTCCGCAGTAGTGGCAGAAGTGGGGGCCCGCACCCACTTACGGGTTCTGCCCTAAGATCAAGGGGCTCAGATTTTCACTTTCTTGTCCTTCTCTAGGAAAATTACAACTTCTTGAACCAAAAGATTAACTACAAGTGGGACTTTGTCATTATGCAGGCCAAGGAGCAGTACCGGTGAGTGGGAGTTCATGCTCAGCCCCCCAACCCCCCTCTTTTGTTTGTTTAAAGATTCATTTATTTATGCACACAGAAGTGGGCTGCGGGCCAGAGGTGCAGGGGTGGTGAGAGGATTCACCAGAGACAGAGTGGGGAGCAGAACAGGCAGATCGACGGAGTACACTGCTGAGGGGAGCAGTGGGTGGGTCAGGAGAGGTCGTTTGCACCATGTGGGTCACCTTTGGGGTGGGGATTGAACTCACACTGAAGTGGCTATGGCTAGCTTGCAGTGCTGTGTCCTAACCTGTTGTGCCACCAGGGAGGGCCACCTCCCTTCTTTTGTTAAAATGAAATTTTAGGGGGCATTTATGTGTCAAACACTGGACTGGGCGAAGGGGATTCAAAGACACAGCTTAGTGGGGCAGGCAGAGCGACCAGCAGCCATAATGGAGCTTTGAGGTGGAACTACACCCTGGGCTTTGCAGAAGGAGCTGTAGACACAACCTCAAGTCTGGACACTTCCTAGGAGGTGTCCAGGTGAAGGCAGCGGTGGTAGAAACAGAGGCGAGGGGAGGCGAGGGGAGGGTGGCTTAGCAGGCAGAACCAGGATCCGGGCAGGGGAGTGTCGCCTTGAAGCAGTTTCTTGAGCTGGAGCCAACTTCATCTTTGGAATTTTGGGGGGACATAAATATTTAGTCCAGAGCAATCTTTTTGGTTCTCCTGTCTTTGCCCAGTGGGAGATCAAGAGACACATGAATGAATGATGAAGTCATTCGGTTGCTTAAACAAACCCTAATAGAGCAAAGTGGAATAATTTCAGCAAGACCTTTGGAGTAAGTCAGTGATGGACTCTGTTAATAAGGTGTTGCGTGGTGGACACACCACAGGCTGTCCTGGCCGGTCTTCCCGAGCCACGGGGTAGTTAACCTGTAGGAAATCCAGTTATGTTGCCAAGGGGAAGTTGGAACAACAGCCACAGTGTTTATATTTAATTTCCAGAGGAGGTTGGCAAAACACCCTCCGGAATGGCGGCGTTCCCCCATCTGGCTCTCGGGATGTTATTATGTTATTCACAGAACATTAGCTGGCAGATAAATGCTCCGAGTCTGACTGGGCAGGACGACCGTGTCATCCACACTGCGGGGAGCAGGCATTACCAGCCGGGCTCAGGTCGCCGCGGGAATGGGCAGAGTGGTGCTGGTGGCACCATCGTTAGGGCAACCTGGCTCCTGGAGAGGAAGCCAGCATCATTTCCCACCCATAATGGGGCCGGCTGGGGTGGGGCGGGGGTGGCGGGGCGCAAGGGACAGTCCACAGCCTCTGACACTCAGCAGTCAGCCTCAGAAAGCCCCTGACGGGACAGGACCGGCTGGAAGTGACAGATGGGACTGAGAATAGGGCTCTGAGTTCTGGTCTTTATTATTCTTTTAATCCTTTATAATTTATTTATATATAGCTGACATCATAGAATTCCCACCACCAGTTCACCTGCACACCCTGCCTGACCCCTCTCCCTCCCCTCCCATGAAGCATGTCTCTGATTTATAGTCCTCTGCTTATTTTTGTTGTGCTCTTTTTAATGTTATCTTTTGAGCTCTGGTCTTGATGGCTGTTTGCTCAACCGCAGCTTGATGAGGTTAGTTGTTGACCTTGAACACAAGCTGTTTGTTGCAACAACAAATTAGAGTGTGGACAGGAACAAACAGCAGAAACAGGCCAGACTGGAAAGTGCATTGTCATGCTGAGTCCCATGGATTCTCCTCAAATGCGAGGCTGACACCCCTTATCTCTGCGGGACCCCTCACCCCCTACTTTTTTTGGAGGGAGAAGCAGCAGCATCTCCTGCAACTTGCCAGGCTGGGTGGGTCCTGCAGGTGTGCGCATGTGCAGACTCTTTCTTGCCCCTGGCCTCGTTTAAATACGCTCTGAATGGCAACGCTCAGTTCTTCAAGCAGGGAAGAAGGAAGAAGCAGTGTGTCTTGGTCCCAGGGGTGAAGTGGGTGGAGTCGACTCCATTCTAAGCTGGGGGGGCGGCAGGACTGCACCCACGCTGCCTCTCACTGTCAGGGAGAGCTGGGCCCTGGCATGGGAGGCCCAGTTCAGCCCCACTTCTGGCGCCCACTGCCTGGGCACCCCGTTGGGCATTCAACCTCTCTTTGGACTGCAGCCTCCTGGGCTGTGACATGAGAAACGGTCACCAGGGCGATGAAACAAATTCATGAAGGTGAACGTTCTCAGGGCACCTGGTACATCTGTGTGATGTGGGCGTTTGTTGTTTTTAGTATGACGATGGCAGCTCCAGGGTCATCAGGGATGGGGGACATTGCCTGACAGAGGTCACCCATCTCTGACTTGGCTCTTGGTCTTTCAGGACTGGAAAGGAAAGGAACAAAGCAGACAGGTACGCCCTGGATTGCCAGGAGAAGGCATATTGGCTGGTGCACCGGTGTCCTGTGAGTATCCTCCCTGGTGTCCCTGTCCTGTACCGCCAACTTTCTGCTGGCCCCTTCCCTCTGGGGCTAGGCCTGCAGGGCAGGGAACCACCCCACCCTGCTTGGAGGGAGCAGAAAGCACTGGGCGCCTGGGCTCTGGGTGGGTGAGCCTGATGAGGTTAAGAGGAGCAAAATCCTGAGCGGGACCGGGATGAGTTTGCCTTCAGGAGGGTAGGGCTTTTTACTTCTTTGCTGAGTGTACCTTGGAAAAGGGATAGAAGAAGAGGAAAACAGGGCCCTCCCTGGTGGTGCAACGGGTTAGGTCGCAGCACTGCAAGCTGGCCGCAGCCTCCGTGTGAGTTTGATGTCCGCCCTGGAGGTGACCCACATGGCGCGGCAGACCTCTCCTGTCTCCCCGCCGCTCTTCCTCAGTCTGCCTGTTCTGCTCCCCACTCTGTCTCTGGTGAATTCTTTCATGCCCCTGCACCTCTCGCTTGTACTCCAATTCTGTATGCACAAATAAATCTTTAAAAAAAAGGAAGAGAAAAATAGAACATAGGCACCAAAGCAGGAAAAACAAATGCCGTGGAGTGCTGATATTCTACAGCCAAGGCCATACCTGCCAGCTGCTCCTCCTCTCGCCCCAGTGACCCTGGCTGGGGGCGGGTTGGGGGAGTGGGGGTGGTCAGGGCACTCAGCCTCTGGCTCACAAGGCCAGTGTCTCTGGCTCCCAGTCTCTAGAGGGCTCTGGGTTGTCCATTAGTGCTGTAAACTAATCAGGGACGGTAGCTTCCTCCCCCACTGAGGCCAGCAGAGTCCCTGTTCTCTGACAGGACGCTGCTCTGGATGGTGCATCCAGGGGTGCCGCTTCCTCTCAGCTCAGGGAACTCAAAATCCAAGTAGCCATCACTCAGGTGAGCCGTGCTGTCCAGGAGATTAGTCCAGGGCCGGGCACAAGGAGGGGTGGTGGGTTTAGGGCAGGGGAAGGGAGGGCAGGTGACCGCGGCCAGGGCAGAGGCCAAGGCCAGAGGTGGTGGCGGGAGGGCTCTGACTGCAGCCAGTCTCAGTGCGACACCCACGACCCAGAGCCCCTGTGAAGGAAAACTGTACGCGGCTTCCATTCCTACCCAGAGGGAACCAGACACGGACTTGGATGCAGACAAAGTGAGTTTGTAAACAGGCAAAAGGAGACGCGTGCCTTTAGAAATGGGGCTGCGGGCTCCCTGTGACTCTGCTGTCCCCTCTGTGGCTTCTGTGTCTCGGAGGATCCGCCCTTCTGCTCTGCCCTGGTCTGGGGACAGAAGCTGCCTCTGGCGGTTTGGGCTTGAGTCAGACTCGCCTTCTCCTGTGCCAGGGCCTGGGGAGAGGTATCTCCCTTTCCTGCTGGGGTTTGGCTGAATGGAGAATGGAGAATAGCAAGACAAATTAAAATCTACCCATGGGGGTTTGATGTTGTGAAACTACTAAAATAATATCTGCAAAAGCCATTTATTGACCCAAGGAAATGGCCCGGTGTATAAGATGATATCATAAAAGCAGGATGGAAAACTTCATACGCTCTGATCCAAATTCAAATAAGTGCAAGGCCTATTGTCCATGCACGTCCTCCGCTGGACGCTTACTGGGCACCGGGACAATGAGCCCAGACAGACGTGGTCCTTACGTATTGCCCACAGGAAGCTCTGGCAGCCTGGTGGGGAGACATAGACCAAGGCTGTTGCGCAAATGGTGTGTGCCAGCTGGAGCGCAGGGGGCCCGTCGGATGGGGGTCTGGGGGCATCTCTCGCTGGAGTGACCCTGAAGCCCAGACCTGCGTGGGGTCCCTTTCTCTGACCCTTCAGTTGAAACTCACCTCCCCATGTTAGCCCTCGACTCAATCTCTTTCCCCTGTTTTACTTTAAGAAACCACCCGGTGTTTTATTTATTGTTTGTTTCCTGTCTCAGGCACTGAAAGGGTTGGATGTATTAAGGGGCAGTGCCCTGCTCTAGAAGGCTGCCTCTGGGCATGCTGGAGCTGTGCGTGGGGCCAGAGGCCCTTCCTAATCTGCATTACGGAGTAGAGCAAACTGCCTCTTTGGCTGAAACCCCAGGGGTGTAGCTGGGGTCGCTTCCCCCCACCCAAGGCGGGGGCTGCTTGTGGGTGGGGTGCCCTGGCAACTCTGGGGCCTAAGGCACCTGTGAGCCTCCTTATCAGCTGCTGCCTGCCTCAGGTCCCTGCTGGCCGAGTTTTCTGCACATGGTCAGCTCTGCTCATCTTCCTCTGCTCATCGTCCTCACGTATGAGCCAGAAACTGCGTTCACAGTGACGCTGGTGACTGTTCCCGGGACCTTTTATTTTTTAAGAGTTATTTTCATTTATTTATGCATACAAGAACTGGGGTACTGGCCAGAGGTTCAGGGGTAGAGAGGATCTACCAGAGACTGAGTAGGCAGCAGAACAGGCAGATCCATGAAGTCCACTGCTGAGGGGAGCAGCGGGCGGGTCAGGAGAGGTCTGCTGCACCACACGGGTCAGCTCCTGGCCGGGGATCGAACTTGTGCTGCAGTGACTACAGAGAGCTTCCTAGACGTGAACCCCTGCACTACCAGGGAGGCCCAAGGGCCAACAACTTGATGCTGCCTGATGAGGGGATGAATGAGTGGGGCCTGGGGTGGGGCAATGTCCCCACACAGGTCGCTCCCTGGGGAGCTCTGAAGGCAGCGCTCTGAGGAGGGATCCCAGCTTGAAGGGAATGGCTGAGGCCACTGGGATGCTGAGAGGTGAAGCCTGGCTCCGGGTGGCCAGGGACTCGCCCTGGGCATTCTGTGGGTACAGAGGGTCAGGAGGGGCTGGCATGGGCAGGATGGCAGAGTAGTAAACCTGACGCTCACTACAGCTCTGAGAGCCCTGTGGCACATGGTTATGTGGGTGCACTGTTGAGCCCCTGGATTAATGGGGGGTCAAGTTCAAAGGTCAAGTTCAAAGGGAAATGTTGGAGAAGGGACTCAGGATCCGTGCCCTGAAGCTGCAGAGGCAGCGAGGGCCTGGAAGGGCCGCCGGCCGCACTGTTGCGGCGCCTCAGGCCTGGGCTGGGTGTGCAAGCATGTGAGTGCATGTGAACGAGTGTGCAAACACGTGCACGGGTATAGTGTGAGCGTCGCTGTGTGTGTGAGTGTATTCTTGTGTGTGAGGGGGGTGCGAGTGTGAGTTGTGTGAGGATGCACAGGCCTGAGGGTGTTCATGTGAGTGAGCCTGTGTGTCCCAGCCTGAGTGTGCAAGAATGTGATCACGTGACTGTGGGAGGGTATGCATGCACACGTGTGTGCATGCATGTAGGCAAGAGTGTGCACCAGCAAGTATGTTCGTATGTGCGTGTGTGAAGACACGTGACCACATGCAGTGTGGTCGACTGCATGTCGATGCGTTCCTGTGTGTGGGGGGGGAGGTCTAAGTGAGTGTGCAAGCTGAGGGCGTGTCTGTGGGTCTAAGGTTGTGTGAGGTGAAGGGTGAGTGCACAGGTGTGTGGTGGTGTGAGTGTGTGAATGTGTGTGGGAAGCTTTAAGAGTGTGTGTGTGGGATGTCTTCAGTCACTCTGGGCTGGGATGCCGTGGTGCCAGAAGGAAGGACAATTCCTAGAACTCCCTCAGGCGAAGGCTTCTGAGGGACTCCTCTGGGCTCACAGGACCCCGCCAGCACTGGTTCTGTCAGTCCCCTGCATGGTAAACTGACCAGTGGCTGCTTGCCACAAGGCTGGAAAGCCTGCAGATGGCCGCTGGGAACCTGAGGTGTGCCTGTCACCCTCACCACGGGTCCCCAGGGCAAGCACAGAGCCGTCTAAGTAAGCGCCCCACAGACGGTGGCAGCTCGAGGCTCACTTGTAACCACCAGATCGAGGACAGTGTCTGCCTCCTTGCCTCGTCCCTCCCCACTCTGATGCTTCCTCTGCTGTATGTCCAGGAGTCTCCCCCAGTAGCCTGCTGAGCTGAGGTGCCGGATTTTGCAAATAAAACAAGAGGGAGCCAAGTTAACTTTAATATCAGATAAGCTGTCAGTGATTTACGTCTCAATATTTTTTATACTTACTGTATATTTATACGGAAACATATGGAATATATTTTTATCTAAGCTCGTATATCAAAATCACTTGTTGTTCATCTGAAATTCAAATTTCAAACTGGGCGTCCTCTGTTTTATTTGGCAACCTTACCACTGAGCTAAAAGGGTGGCTGACTCTATCGATGAGTCTGAAGCCTGATGCTCGCTTCCTGCTTCGGGGTAATCAGCCTGGTGAGTCATGGGTGTTGAGTGACTGATGGGGGCCTGGCACCCAACCAGCTCAGAGGGAAGTATGAAACCCAAATTATTGGACTCCAGGAAATGAGAGAGTGGCTGGAGTTATGTGATCCAGTGGGGAAAGGAACTGATGAAAACTAAGACTGGGTTTGGATCAGGCCTTTGCACTCATGACCTTGGAGTGGATATGCCCCTGGCTCAGCCTGGCTAACTGTGCTGAGAGCCTTACACCCCGTCTTGCTAAGTCTTCACCAGAGCCTGACAGGTGGGAGGCTTATCTCTCGTTCTCAGAAGGTAGTGCCCATGGAAAGAGGGGGAGCATTTCCAAGATCTTCCTTACAACTAGTAATTTCCTTCAGTTTTGAAACCAGAGATGATTGATT